AATTTTGGCGCCGGAGCTTGCTTGGGTGCCGAGTTGAAATACCCGGACACACACACACACACACACGCACACACACACACACACATACACACATACACACACACACACACACACACGCACCGGGGTCGTCACAATATGCATTTTCGCATTTGCATATATGCAAAAACGCATAAACAGGAATTGAAATTGCCATTGGTGCTGTAAAATGACTCGATGCATAGTTATGAGGATTAAGCGAATTTCGAAAGATCTAAACCTCTTATATCTTCGTTTTTTTTCTTCATTTTTCACTGATAGTAAAGAAGAGCCATCACATTTACTACCCTCAAAATATCGCTTCGATCTCTCATGGAGAACGAGTGTGGATGAGGTTTTGACTTTTGATTTATGATACAGATTAATACAGATAAGATTCGACTGATCAGATCTGTTGCCGCTTCAGGTCAATGTGTTAACGATTCGCGATTGTTGCCGGAAGAAACAGTAGCATTTGCTCGTGCCAATCCGCTCATGGATGACGCTATACAGAATTATTTTGGTGCACCGGTTGCAGTTCATTCCGGTCTCGATCACTTCACGCAAATTTCCGTTGATGCGCAGGCAACTGCTTCTCGTTATTATCATAGTCATGATCCAGTTTTAATCCTTAATTCCAAATTAACTGCAGTTCCCGGGGTATGAGCGAGGGAATTTAGCGCTTGATCGGTGCTATCCCTGGAACTTCCGACGTCTCATACGGTGTTGAATCATCTGCCCATGTGCTCAGGTGCCAGTTTTCTTCGTGGTAGTGACAGCAAAATAATTCCTAGACTTTACCGTTTTTTCCGAGAGCTTTGAGACTAATGAAGAAAAGCAGTTTTGTGTGGTATAATGACTGCTGCTGGAAATCCGCGAGAAGCCAAAAAAAGAAGGCTCTGATTTGACTCCTAGTACCGTTATTTTATTTCAGGGAATACCAAGATTGCCCAGAATGAGTGTGGAGATCCGATTTCGATGATGCTATTGAAAAGTTTTTGTACTTACCGTCAGTAATGCTAATTCCAGTGTCCTGAAATCCCCGACTCTTCAGGTGCAAGCAGTTGATGGTCGTTTCTATGATGTGATCTTTGTTGGTACGGATCTGGGAAATATCTTCAAGGTGGTGAATTTGGCCGGCACGAAAACAATTACAAAGCAAACATCGCACCATATTTGTACCTTCCACATTACCGATGTAGGTACAATTATTACATAACAGTTTTGTCAACCGCCCATTTCTGAGACTAGAGACCCACTTTCATGTAATTAAACGCGATTCAGTAGCACATACTTAGATTTTTTGCAGTTTCCGCATATTATCACATTTGCGTCCTGTATGGCAAAAAATTTCAGTTTCCAGAATGCCAAAGCTGTGAAGAAAAGACGAATTCCTCTCGTCCCATGCCTCAGCCCTTTTACTATGTCCTTGTTACACTTCGTTCCTTGGAATGTCGCTAATTTTTTCACCACATCGACAACTCGTTATTAGCAAAATCATCAGTGAGCCGTAAAAAGAGCTAAAATGCACCACTTCCGATGTCCTCGAGAAATTTTTTTAGACTTTTTTAAAAAGTCAAAGAACATGGACAAACCACTTTGAACTATCCACAAGCAATACCATAAGTTGCTTCGGTTTTGACTGAAGAGTGGAAAACGCATACTGTCGAGAGGCTGTCTGTGTGTGTATTCGGAAAGCGAGTGCATTTTGTCACCCACTTTCATCTC